GATGTTGCCTCTGTGACTGGTTTGCGTAATGTGCCTCGGTGCTAGAGGAATCCCAGGGGGAGAACGAACCCGGGTTCCCTGATAAGACGTATCCCAGGAGAGAGAAGTGGGGTCCTGGAAGGGAAAGCAGCTGCTGAATGGCAGGAATAGAGCAAGACTCACAGCTGAGGGTAAAGCGCCAGCACTGAGAGACGGACTAACAAAGAGAGATGGCTCCTGCCGGGGGACAGAGAGCAGACAGAGCAATGGCAGCAAGTCCAGACTGCTGGGAACCTAAGAGGCAAACCTCCCAGACAGCCCCTCTGGTTCTTTTTCGTTATTCCTGTAGTCCCTGCTAAAGCATCTCAACTGAGGCCAGGCTGTCTGTGCTCCGGCTGTGAGCGCTGCCCGCCACTCCTCTCGGCTGGCGCTGCGCACCCGGAGCTCCCTAGCAACCCGCGGGTGCACGGGGGAGCTGCAGCTGCCTATTTTGAGAATCCTCGCTGGCGGTTTTCAATCTCTAGGGTGGGAGGATGTGGAGGGCGGAATAAGGGAAGAAGCTGGAAGACTGCTGCTTAAGCACTGGGGAACACACACAGAGGCAGCGGCTTTAGTGATGCGTGAGTCACTCTGTGAAACTACACAGGAAAGTGTGAAACTACAGTTACAAACCTGTACACTCAGCAGCTACACTTCTGTCCTACTCATAATCTGCCTGACCCATGTCCTCAAACGTGCTTCCTTTGCCACATGGTAGGCAACTTGCACGGCACCTTAAATCCTTCCTCTCCTATTCCCTCACACCCGCATTTCCTAAAGAATTGCATCAGTTCTGTGCTCTGGCCTGGAGGGAGAGCAGTGGAGAGCTTTCATCTGAAAGCTGGGGGAAAAAGCAGCCAGAAAGACAAGTGTTACACATTGCAGCACGTGGTTTACTTAATGTAGCTTAGTTTTAATTATTTATGATAATTCATGATTTTCCCAAGTATATTGCCTAATGATACTTGTCATTGTAGCAATAGTTAATAGACAATTCCCAGGTCTGCAGGCAACCAATGCGGACTTACTGCATTATAATGAAAAATGTCTACAATTTACTTTTCAATATTGTTGTTATTGTTATTAGCCTACCCTTTCCAGCATTAATTCTCCATGGATTTCTGCATCTCACTGCTTCCTTTCCTTCCCGCTCTCCTTCCTATCCTTTCTCTCCCATTAAGCCCAAAACAGTGGCATGTGTTCTCATTCACTCATTGTACACAAGTGCTACTGTACTATTGCAATGTGTTATAAATAGTACAGATTGAGGAGTAGAGTTCATTCTGAAAAATTATCTTTGGAGATTGTACTCCACTATCTTTTTAGGACTGGATAAACAGGAAACCTTGCGTCACTTTCTCCTGCTTGAGTAACTAATTAGGGTCAATTATACTTTATAAAGCCTTGGTAGATAAAGAAAAGTGGGAGTGATACCTATATTTTAAAGCCTCACCTGGAGGAGAGAAAAGGTAGATGTTGTAACAGGGAATAACAGTAACCAACGCCATCGTGTTTGCACAGCAATGTCCATTTTAATGTCTCAAGTGATCAGAAGCTTCTAATTATCTGCCCTTTCTACCTTGAAGTTTAATATCTTCAGGTTTGTATCCTTTATGCTTTAAAAAACAGCAAGGAAGCACATCTGAAAAAACACCAAACAGAAAACTGGGTAAAATACTTAACATTTAAAGAAAATTTCTCTGGAAGTTTGGTTGTTGTTTTAAAGTTCCTGTTTTTGAAAGATTTGAGGTAAAACTTGCCTTTTTCTTGACAGCAACAAATCTGAACATAAGTACTGCTGTGAAGTTGGTTTCACTGTGGTGAAGAATAACATATTGGGTGGGTGCATATTCAGTGTTTTCCATTGTCAAAATCCACCTATGTCCCAGATTCCAGGGGCTCATGGTAAGAGCAAAGTACAGATTGTCCTTTGCAAGGGTTGCAGGACCGAACCCTCACTTACAAAGTGCATAACTAAGAAATTGTTTTGTTTGTATGTGCTGAGTGGGAGTGTTTTGCAGAGCACAAATTGCTACTCACTGTTAGTAACCTGACAGGAGGGACTCTCAGTATGGCAAAGGAATGACTGGCATTGCACTCATCTTGAACTTCCATGCTTTCAAGCAGCTGATAGCTGTGCACATCTGGATTCTAGCCACGTAGGCTAATTCTCTCTGACAAGAAGCTGCAGGAGAACTTTTGAAATTAAGCCTTCATTTGAGACTTGCACTAATGCCTGCAAACTACACTGCAAATGTCTGACCCTTCTCAGCCAGACAGCTCAAGTCAGATGTTGCCTCTGTGACTGGTTTG